CACTCCGGTGCATTCAAAGCTGTAATCAACACCCGTACCGTCGGTCATTTCCTTTATCAACTCCACGGTGGTTCTGCTCTCATTGTTGTTTGGATTGATGAAATCAGTCATTCCGAAAAACTCTGCCTTCTCTTTCTTCAGGTTGTTTAAATCTACGCCAATTATCTTGCTCGCCCCCAGCAACTTAGCTCCTGCAATTGCCTGGGCAAAAAAAATATTAAAAAAATATTAAAAATAATAATAAATTAATAAATAAACAGCAAAGACATACATACCCCCATTCCGACACCTCCAAGCCCGAACACCGCAACCGTCGCGCCTTCATCAACCTTGGCATCTTTCCACACCGCACCGTACCCTGTAGTAAACCCACAGGACAGAAAACTGGCGTGCTCAGGCTGGAGCCTCGGGCCGACCCTGACGACGTAGTTTACGTCGACGACGGCGAACTCGGTGAAGGTTGAGCAGCTGAAGAGATGGTAGAGCTTCTCCCCTCTTACTGACATTCTTGAAGTCGAGTCCGGCATCAGGCCGTCTAAGGTGACCGGATACTCGAGGCAGAAGTTGGTTTTGCCTGAGTTGCAGTTCCTGCAGCCGCCGCATTCGCCTAGGCAGCTCGGAATGACTACCTCTCCTACGTACGCTGAGGTCGTCGACGCCGTCGCCGACGCTTTCGATCACGCTGGATTGAACGTAAATGAAGTCAGTTCATCATTCATACGTCTGGACGCGATATAATTGGGCAGTGGTGGAAATTCTACGTGAAGAAATTTTCACCGCAGACTCATTTCCATATTTAATCCCTAAAACCGACTCACTTTAAAGCTATTTATGAGAATCGATCCACTTTGAGTCAATTGCGATACTAATTAGTCGGGGTTGCTAACCCCGACTAATTAGTAGACTAATTAGCAGCCGCAAACCTTTCTTGCTCTCTGACCCCGCTTGTAATTAGGCTACTAATTAGTCGGGGTTGGCTACCCCGATTAGTACCGTAATTAACTCAAAGTTGGTCGATTCTCATAAATAAATTTAAAGTGGGTCGGTTTTAAGGATTAAATATGGAATTGGGTCTACGGTGAAAATTTCTTCAATTCTACGTGGTCATCATCTCATTCCTTGAGGTTGGAATAAACGATAAGAATTAGGATAATTGGATTCTCTCAAATTAACCATATAATCGGAGAGAATCTGAATCCCCTAAATTCACCCCTAATTCCTTACATGTCATCCCTTAATCTAGGTCGTATAATAGGCGTCTCTCAAAATTATTTTAAATTATTCTTCAAAATTGATGATTCATGAAGAAAATCTACGTTTTTGTGTCTTTTGTAGTGTAAGCATAGTTTAGAAAGAGTGATGAATTTAAAATAGAAGTTGGGACTAACAATTATACCTTTTGGGTTAAAATTAATTCTTAGTATCCGTTGGAGGGTCATTAATTCTAGATTGGATCCGATTACTTTCCAAAAAGGATATAAGGAGCCAAAAAAGTTTTACTCTGGGATCTATTTACCCAAAAAAAAAGAAAGGAAAAGAAACCAGAGGGTTTATACACAATTAACCTTATAAGTATGATAATTTCCAAAAACACATCAAATTAATGCCATAGTTTTTTTTTTTTGAAGCAAATCAAATACTATAGATTTGAAAACACAGGATTTAGAGGTGCTTACCCAACTCCTTCATGCCCCAAGACTCTTGGATATAGCGGCTGCAGAAACCCAAAAACGCGCCACAATTAGACACAAATCCTTACGTGTACAACGTATTACTTTAACGCCCAACTATCATGAAGAAAGAGGCTGGTAAATTTCACACAACCCCCGTTGAGTGTGTTGTTTTTAGATAACTCTCTTCGCTACATTAATTTCATAAAAACCCCTTAGCTGTGAGGGGTTCTACAGATAACCCCTTTTTAACTTCTTCTATTCCGCTAAGCTCATTGAAAAGATTTTTCGCTTCACTCTTTTTTTTTAGTTATGAGAGGTATTCTCTCCTTTTTTGACATGTGCTTGATATATTTGACCATGCTATTTTGTGAGGTTAAAGCAGACATTCCTCAATAGGTCTAGCGAATAGAAGAAGTTTAGGGGGTTATGTATGAAACCCCTCAAAGTTAAGGGCGCCTTGTGAAATTAAAATAGTTAAGTGGGGCTACCTCATTAACGGCCAAAATTACAGGGGGTATAGTGAATTTTACCCAAAAGGGACTTGGTTGTTTCCTTTATCACTGTACTTACAACAGGATAGCCGTTCCACCCGGTTTCATCAGTATGGCACAAGCTAGCGCAGAGGATTCGGATCCGAACCTCCGACGATCGAGGCGGCTCCACCTCGATCTCCTCCACTGTTAACGGCTGCCCGGGCCCCCAACAGATTGCGGCTACGGTAAGTACATATCATATCAGAACATTTTGAATACGAGCGGTTTATTCCGAACCATAAATATGATAATTAAAATTAATCGCTTCTTACCTTTGCACCTTATGGTCTGGGGTTCTTTTGACGCCATTTTTCGATTATGGGAAGTATCTCTCAAAAGGGTATTGACGTGAAGGAACAGATGGGTTTGGGTTAGCTGAGCAGCTATTTAATTTCATATGTCTAAAATACTCAAGTTTTTTGGAAAATTTAATTGATTCCTTTTGTTTAATTTATACCAGATGTTTACTTTTTTTTTCTGTATTATAATAAAGCCGGACTGGACAAAGACGGGCCAGCAACCTTGAAATAAATATTAGAAGGCAAAATTATTAAATGAACTCTTAATTAATTCAACTCCCATTATTTATACTTACCTCCAATAATTAGTTAATAAATAATAAGTTAAATTAAGCTGATTTGTCAAAATAAGCCATTTGCTAAACTAAACATGTCAAACTGATTTATGAGCAGCAAAAGTGACTTGTAAGCCACTTCGACAACTTATCAAAAATGCTCTGGGTCCAAAATTTAGGCCCACCTGCATATATATTTGAAAAGTTCTACATATAAATGCTTAAAAGCATTTGATTTTTCCCCCTTATGTACACACTCCCTTAATTTTTTTTAAAAAAATATCATGTGCAAATCCTTTTAAACTATGGCCATCAAATAAAAAGTAAAAAAAAAATCTTTTGAAATTATTGGAAAAAAATCTCGATATCAAGATTTAAAGTAAAAATTCTAAAAACTTGTCATAACGGGCATGCTATGTCCTCCAACGTGAATGTTCTTCATTCAAAAAAATTCATCAGATTTGTAGTTAATCAAAGTTATTACTCTCTTTTGACATTGTTTACAGATTCAGATGACAAACCTGTAACAAAATCTAGAGAACAAGGAAATATAAACATCTTTAAGTTTCAGAAGCCAAGACAAAATCAAACATGTTTATATAATTAGAAAACACACATGAAATAGTCAACTAGGTTTATGTAATTACAAACGGGGCAATGGATATGAGCCAACGGCTCATTTAACAAAATAAGCTGCGCCCACTCTGAAGCAGTGGTCTTACACCTATCCGATGTAACAACTAGGAGAGCCTAAATACTATTAACATCATTTACAGCTTATTTTTCTCATATGCAATTACAAAACACAAACCTTAACTCAATTTAGTTTTTGCACTTGGGCCGTAAATTTTGATCAATTGCACTAATGGCTGGAGAGGCGAAACCCTCTTTACTGAATGACAATACACATGCCAATTCCTTCACAGAGCATCCAAGTTTAGAGAAATATTGGGAGTAATCGGGCCCAACCTAGACTTAATGTGCTTTAATCACAGGCTAGGAATTAATTTTAAAAGGCTTTTAATCCAAAAGGTATAGCTACTAGGTTGCTCATTCTTCCACAAGATTTACCAACTTGGTCTAAACTATCAACCATGCATTCGACACAAGGCTATCAAAAACATCTGTAGGATCTTCCACCATGAGATTCATTAACTTGATTTGAACTATCAGCTATACATTCAACATATGGCTGTTAATGCAACGCGGAAGTGATAAACATGAGAATCCACCAAAGTTTGCTCTTTGAATCCATAGAGAACGATCAATGAATCCACGAAGAACTTCAAGAACCATCTTGCATGAGCAGAAGGAAGATGCCAGCTATGTTGGTTCAATCAGGAAATGGCCGATCATGCTTGTTAGGGTTGAATGCTTAGGGTTTCAGATTCAAGCAGCTCGTTGCAATCCATATATAAACTATTAAAAGAGAAATTTATCAATAAAAGTTATTACTCTAGAGCTTACAATTCTTTGTTTAAATAGAAAATAAATAAAACTCCAACTAGGGCCCAAATTTTACCAAAAATAAAAATAACAAAATTTTCCTTAAAAGACTCCCTATTATTGAGGAGACAAATATGTCAAATTTGGAATGGAGCCGGATTTGTTCCCTAACCAAAAACTGACTCCTAAGACATTATCCAAAGTAGTAAAAAAAACTACAAAAACTCTGATATCTCTTAATATGGAGGGAATTTTGTGAATTAGATGGTGTAAAAATTATCAGCTATGTTAGCTTTTACTTGCTTTTTAGTTTTTGTGATAAAAATGATATAAAAATTATTTGGGCAAAATAATAATTATTTTAGTCAAAACTAACTTATTCAGATGAGCTTATAGGCTAGTTTTTCAAAAGCCTATGTATACCATTTTTTAAAATGAGACTTATAAGCTAACTTATATGATATTTTACCAAACACGTAGATATTAAAAAGCTAGTTTGACAGAGAAAAATAAATTCCCCCAAACACCCTCAAAGAATTACGCAATTTGTTAATAGAGAGGAAGATACAAAAACACAGAAACATAGTTTATTTGAAATCCAAACATGTTACACAATGTCAATGCGCTTCATAAATCTGTACCACAACATAAATCGCCTACATATCACTGATTTCGATAACTACTTTGAGACAATCAGCATCCTTCATCAGTTCAAACGCACGATTTATATCATCCAAACCAACTCGGTGTGTTATTAGCTCATCAAGTTTGATCTCCTGCTAGAAAGGAAAGGGGGGCAAAAAATCCTGATTAATTTGTTCATTCGGATCTTGGGCCAAGCTCAAGAACAAACATATCATTTTGTGCTAATTGCACATAGACCCCGTGTCGTATCGTTGTTTTCAACTTACCACCCTTGCGGTTTCGTTGTTGCATATAGACACCCTAGATTAATATTTTCTTGACTCTTTTCTTCTTGGCGAAATTTTGACCGATATTGTCCTTGGATGAATTAATGGGTCCCTCGCAGGGTAAAAGAGTCAAGAAAATTTAACTTGGGGGTCTATCTGCAACGACAAAACTATATGGATAATATATATTATCAAAACAACCTTAATGGATAATAGTTTCCATGTCACATACCTTACTTATACATTTTCCAATGATCGAAAGAAGATCAGATCGAAGTTTTACTCCTCCGTAAAGGGCTCCCTTTACTGTTCTACCATACAAAAGTGCCGTGCGGTCTACTGATGCATGTTGCTCCGGGGTAACTCCAAGCAATACAGTCACCCCTCTTCCCTGTATATAATTAAGAAATTATATATTTTGATAAGAAAATTAATCCAATATGTAAATACCCGTATTAAATGATATATTTTTTTCAGTCGAACATGAGCAAATATCTAGCTAGATGGTTAACTATCAAACTATTCATTCATTATTTGATCAACTTAATTGCACATAATAAATTTTTTTCCAGATAATTACCATTACTGTAGATTCAAACGCTTCACTGGTGACCGCTGCAGCTCCGGTGCATTCAATGCTATAATCAACACCAACGCCCTCAGTCATTTCCCTTATAATTTCGACAGTAGTCTTGCCGTCATTTTTTTTTGGATTTATGAAGTCTGTCATTCCGTAAAACTCTGCCTTCTCTTTTCTCTTATCGTTTAAATCTACACCAATGATCTTGCTCGCTCCTAGCAACTTAGCTGCCGCAACGGCCTAAAAAAATAAAAAATAAATAAAATAAATGATAATTAATAAAAAAAACGGTTTTCCTATAGACTATCCATGGGCGCTCTATAAGAGAGGAGGGAGATAGAGAGAAATGAATGAAGAGGGGGACCCCTAATTTGCATTGGGATCATCCCCTCCTCATTCATTTCTCTCTATCTCTCTCCTCTTTTATAGAGTGCCCATGGACACTCTATAGAAAAACCGTAAAAAAAATTAGTATTTCTAGGTCCAAAACGAGCCTAACATAAGTAAATAATTCAAGGGGGAAAAAAAGTTAAAACCGACCAAACCGACCGTGTGCAACGAAAGACATACCCCAATTCCGACGCCTCCAAGCCCAAACACCGCGACGCTCGAGCCTCGATCGACCCCCGCCTCCTTCCACGCCGCGCCAAATCCAGTAGTGAACCCACAGGACAGGAGGCTGATATGACTCGGTTCGAGCCTGGGGTCGACCCTGACCACGTAATTCACGTTGACGACGGTGTACTCAGCGAAGGTCGAGCAGCTGAAGAGGTGGTAGAGCTTCTTCCCTTCCACGGACATCCTCGCCGTTGCGTCCGGCATCAACCCGTCCAGCGCGACCGGGTACCTGAAGCAGAGGTTGGTCTTGTTCGAGCTGCAGTTTCTGCAGTCGCCGCATTCGCCCACGAAGCTCGGCATTACCAGGTCCCCTTCGTCGAGCCCGTCGACGCCTTCGCCCACGCTTTCGATGACACTGAAGTATAAACGTAAACGAAATTCGTTGTCAAATTAATTTATTCTACTGTATACTACATTTTTAACTTTTCAAATATCATAGATTTGAGGGAGATAAGATAAGAGAGTACTGCTTACCCAACTCCTTCATGCCCCAAGACTCTTGGATACAGTGGCTGCGTTAGGTGAGGGAGACCGGTGAGAAAAGTTTATAAAGTTCAGAGGAGTTTAATTTGTGAGAAGCCCTCCAAAATTGAGGGGGCTATTGTGAAATTAATTAACCCAAAAGAGAGCAGTACTTACACCAAGGTAGCCCTTCCAACAAGACTGATCAGTATGGCACAAGCTTGCGCAGAGGATTCGGATTCTGACCTCCGACGACCGAGGCGGCTCCACCTCGATCTCCTCCACAGTTAATGGCTCTTCAGGGCCCCAACAGATTGCGGCTAAATAACGTGAACATAAATCTTATCAGAACATTCTACGTGTCATCAAATATTTTTGATGAAGCAGTGAGTATACAATACCTTTGCACCTTATGGTTTGTGGGACTTTCGATGCCATTGTAGGATTGTCAAGAAGTATCTCTCAAAGGGGATGATCCGAAGGAATGGATGGCGCTATTTGATATAGATAGGAGTCAGCATTTTTTTATAAGGAAAATTGCTTCCATGTCCCTGTTTTGAAACTTGTTTTGCTTTATACCACTATATTCTTCAGAACAAGTCAACGTACGCAAATGGGTATCATTGTCATAGGAGGAGATTTCCCTCCTTGTCGTCTATGTGGCACAATTCCCACCATCCTCATAAAATAGGCACAAATCTCCACCAACTCACATACTCTCTCCTACTTTATGAGGATGATGTGAATTGTGCCACATAGGCGTCAAGGAGGAAATCTCCTCCTATGACAATGATACTCATTACTCTCTCTCTCTCTCTCTATATATATATATATATATATATTTTGTTGTGACTGATGCTTTGAGAAACCAAACCAACGAACGCCGAGAGAAAGACCAAACAAAACACAAACACCAAGGTTTTACGTGGTTCGGCAAATTGCCTACGTCCACGGGGCAAGAAGGGGGTGGGTTTTCACTAATAGAGAAGGAGAGTACAAATTGAGATTACAAATCGCTCAAACGAACCAACTAATCTCACCAACAAATCTCTCAATCTCTCAACCAATAACCCTAACAAATAGCTCAGAAAGATTATATATATATATATATATATATATAGGGTGAGGTTCTAATAAAAACCTCCTTAGCCTAAAAACTAAAAACCTATTTATTGCACTAAATGCAATTAAAGAGTGCAATAAATATCATTACTATACTGAGTGCAATAAATAGGGGCAACAAATAACCAATGAATCCAGATTCACTGGATTGAATCCAGATTCAATCCAGGGAATCCAGTTTCACCACACATAACTGAATCTGGATTCACTGCAGTGAATCGATATTCACTACAGTGAATCTCGATTCACTCCAGTGAATCTCGATTCACTCCAGTGAATCTGGATTCACTATAGTGAATCTAGATTCACTCATATATAGGGTGAGGATTTCTAGTTGAAAAAACGAAGACAAGTATGAGTGAATCCAGATTCAGTTATGTGAGGTGTTTGTTATTTGAAGAATAATGACATTTATTGCAGTGAATCCAGATTCAGTTATGTGAGGTGTTTGTTTTTTGAAGAATAAAATAATAACATTTATTGCACTTTTTAAAGGCAGACAAATTTATTACACTCTTTAATAATGGTATTTATTGCCATCACTGAATCTGGATTCACTGCAGTATAAGCTCTAATCTCAACCATTGGATGAGATAGATCTAATGACCCACAATGGTTTTTAGTTTTTAGGCTAAGGAGGTTTTTATTAGAACCTCACCATATATATATATATATATATATATATATATATATATATATATATATATATATATATATATATATATACAAAAAGAGTGCTGCTACGGGGACCCAAAATATGGGACCAAGAGAGGGGACAGGTGAGATGTCCCCTCCTTATTGCATAATGAGTTGGCATGGCCAACTCATTATGCAATAGGAAGGAGACACATCACTTGTCCCCTCCCTTGGTCCCATATTTTGGGTCCCCGTAGCAGCACTCATAGAAAAATTTGGAAGTTTCTGAGGATTTCTCAACTCCTTCATTGTGTATTAAATGATGAAAGATGTTGATTACTACAATTACTGTTTGGGGGGCATAGGAAAATGATTTTGTGAGACACCCGTACGTTGAGCGAGGTTCAGTGTAGTTAAAAACAGTTCATGGGGTTTTATATGAAATCCTCCAAAGATTGGAGAGTTCTGTAAAATTTATCCAATAGTTCTCTTCGGGGGTGTTAGTCAATTGGGACATTTTCATGCAAAATGAGATAATTGTTAAAGTGAAATAATATTTCGCTAGTGGGATATTTTAGTGGGATAACTAGGAACAATTTTGTGAAGCAGGATATTTTGATAAAATAACGTGGGATAAATTTTTATAATCATGAAGTATATATTTATGCATTTTGAAGATATAAATACTATTTATGTATTTTAAACTTACTATTATTAATTGATAATTGCTTACAAGAATGTTCGTTACTATTAAATTTTAAACTTACTATTATTAATTGATAATTGCTTACAAGAATGTTCGTTACTATTAAATAACTTTTGGTTACACTATAAGATATTGTCAATTATTATTATGATGATGGTCTAATGATGGTGATAATCATAATAGGAAATAAGTAAAGAAAAAATAAAAAATAACAAAATAAATACGAGTTCTAGTTTTTTACCACATAGTTCCAAGCTAAAACTTGGAATAATTTGAGAGACTAGAACTCTCATTTTTGTATAGAAAAATAAAAAAGTGGGATAATTTTGTACAATTATCCCAATTCTAGTTTTGTTAAAGTTCTGCTTGACTAACACTGTAAAATTTTATTCTAGTTTTAGTTCTATGTGACTAACACCTTAAAATTTTGTTCTAGGTTTAGTTTTATGTGACTAACACCTTGAAATTTTATCCCACAGATTATCCCAGTTCTAATTTTAAGTTCTAGGTGACTAACCCCCTTCTGGTTTAATATTTCATTGTTATTGCCGCCTTTAAGATTTGTATTCAGTCGGTCGCTGAAGCTTGATTCTCGTGCCGTGTGAGTGTGTTTATGTTCTTTAAGATTCCCCCACCCTCCGACTAAAATCCTCTCTCATGGGAAGAATATTGCAGTTGTTGGAAAATTTTTATTTGATTCTTTCGTTTTACATTACATATATTATTTTCTTCTTGTAATATTAACAGAATCGACGTGCGAGAGAATCAAGGGCGCAAAATTTTGGTGTTTCTCGTAAAATTCGTAGTCCGTCTAAGGGGCGTAATAAAATACCATAATAAAATTAGAGGAGTCAAGACGAAATTTCCCTCTTAAAAAAATCAAATGGAAACAGGCTGGCGTAAGGGTCATAATTTATTTTTCCCCGAACGCGGCAGTTCATGCGCCACTTTCAGTGGATCTCGATCATCCGATGGCTTTGACTTTTTGGTATTTTTAGATTGCATTATTGCGATGTTAATATTTATTCAGAACCATATGCATAATAAATATTTATAATTAGCAGTTATTCAGGAATCATATTCATAAACGATACTTCTTCGCGAACCATACACATAATAAACCACTAGACGTTGCTTAACTATTCGAATCCCGACTTTAAAATTATCAAGCTGATTTAAAATAAATTTCACAGAAAAATCAATAAACATTAAGAGTTAAAAAGAATTTTAAATTATCATATATACGTGTGTTATATGAGAATATTCTCACGTACATTTGCATTGAAGAAAATACACATTTAAAAATTTCTGGGTGTGCGAGGGCTACCTAAGGTAAGTAAGTATAAATCAAAGAATGGAAACCGTAAGTTATTTAAGTGCTAATTATTAGTCCATGAAATATGAAAACTTTTGTGTTTCATCTCATCTCAAGGGGCAACAAAATTTATTTTAAAAAAAATTAGAATTATTACATTGCATCAGAATAAAAGTGACATGAAAACAACTCAACAACAAGAACAAGATGGCGTGTACAAGCAAAATATTGTACGTATAATCTGTTAGGAATAAAAAATATATCTCGAAAGATATATGAAATCAAGACATTATTGTTATTACTATTATGGTGACGGGTCTGTATCATCATTGCCCTTGATGGGAAAACTAGAATATTGTCTACTTTTGTTGACGAAAACTAATGGTTGAATTTAGTTAGCTAATTAGTCCGTTTCATTGTTCTTCCCAAAAAAAAAAAAGGAACAAAGAAATACGCACGCAAAATTTGTATTTGCTGAAGTGTCAGCGTACAACTAGCGGCCTTTAAGATTAAAAAAGAAGGAATTATTAGTTTTCAGGCAGCATTTGGAGTTTGCCGGCAGGCCATCTTGATTATTGTCTGATAATTTTTTTTGTTTCATATCGTACGGCTGTTTGATTCTCCTGTTTTATGTACCCTGCGTTCGTATAAATTCGAAACGAAGCAGTGGATAGATGAACTTGCCTATAAAGTGATCCCGAATTCAATTCCTACGATTTGTCATCATCTGATGAAAAGATATCATACATCTGGAATCAATGGAAGGTTATGTTACAGCTCACAAGAGAAAGCATCAAACTTCAAATATCTTGCGAAAAAAGCTGAAGAAACTTGGAGAAATTACAGCAGCTGCACCTCCAGCCTACGGTTAGCATATACTGAGTGAAAATCGAGACGACATACTATTACGCCTGATAACACAACTTCAGCACCAGATCTCTCACAAGCACTGTAAATTGTCAAGACTTCAAGTTTACAACCATGCACTTCTAAAAGTACTTGTAACTAACTTTATTGCTCCATACATGGGAAATATTATGCTAAAAGAGCACCAAAGAAACTCCCGTCCTTATAACTAATATCGACAGAATTAAAAGCTAACAGCGAGCTGGAAGTGTCATCATATAGTATATTAAAAAAAAACACAACATCATGAGAAGCTCCTAGCAAGATGATTATCACAGGTTTACATACCAAAAGATCTGTAAGTTTCAGCACTGCAAGCTACATATTGATCTCTCCAACAGTCCAATATGTTTCTAGTTTAAAGCTGACATGTCCAATAACGATAAAGAGGATATCATCTATATGATGCAACGGAAAATTTATATAGCAACAAAAGTATCATCGGCAAGAGTAAGGTTGCTGAAAGTACAACTATCGAGGATGATTGAAGTAATTTGTGACACATGTACAGAAAAGGTGTGGTTCCAAGAAATAAAGAGCTCCTAAATAGAACAAAAGGCAGCTCTTTTAAGAACCCCTCCTTGAGAAAATTGTACAAAGAAAACTTGAATATGCATTCAAACTCAAAGGAAATTTTCTGGGCAGGTTGAAAAGTGAGAACCTACAAAGAGAATCAGATACCTCAGCCACCATACTTAAGGCACATTGATAGTCAGTATCAAGTGCAATTTCAGTGATTAACATCCATTTTTACACATCATAATGAAGGCACTAATATTATCTCAAGGTACAACAATAATTAATAAAAAGCAACATTAAGAATTGCAATCAGCAAAAGATTGGGAACAATATGTTGGATACAAATTTGAATAGTGAATTACTCTTTAACGTGAAGGTCTTCAAATACCAAGTGATATGATACTACACTGGCCTGAATGTAGCAACTTGTAAGAAATTGAAACTTCGAAGATATTATGGAAAGTTAACCAAAATCGCATTACTACCCAAACCAGCATAAAGCCCAACATTTTGGCGTCAAAATCGGCATTAATATAAGATTATAAGTTATATCTACAAGTTGTATTAATGCATTCAAATAAAACCTCACTGCTTTGACAACGCAAAGAATATCTAATTTGCCTAGTTATTACATATACGTAAAACCTGCGAACTCTAACCCGTCAGCATTATACATTGAAGGTACAATAACTTTTTGATTAGAAAGAAAACAGATACAACCTTATAGGCTTGCACAGTTTTTAAAAAAGAAAAACAAAAGAGGAAGATACATATAAAGAGGATAGAGGTGTACCGCGTCAAGACCGAATGGTTTACTCAGGAAGACATCAAGCAAAATTGAAGGTGTAAAGATAGTATTAATCCGAAATTAAATAAATAATAGAGGGTAATATTTCTCAAACCTCAACTAATCAGAGAATATGTGGCAGTAGCTGAAACAATCAGACACTCCCGCAGAGAAATATTCTAGCCGAGAAATACATCTGCAGCATCCCCTAGCCAATGAAGTCCTACAAGTCGAGGCAACATATAATGAACTAAACAACAAAAACCAACAAACCAGAGTAACAAGAATTCTCCTCTGCCATGGCACAAGTTGTTGTACAAGTTTGCAGGACAGGATATTAGTAACTAAAAGTGCAAGTTTGACAGTCGGTTATACAAGTGTTACCCTATACAAGCTTTTCTTTGACTGGATAAATCAATATATTCAACAACAATGTCACAAACATGCATGTAGCTAGCATAAAGGTGAAAAATGAAATTTGCTCCTGATAACCAATGGATACTGTTCCCTTCTTTCCTTAACTAACCTATAATTTACCAGTCATTGTTCATAACAAATTGCATATGTTACATTGTCAACAATTTAATTTGATACAAAATGGGAAGGGGGGGGGAGTAAGAGATACATACCCTTGTTCTTTTCTTTCTTTCTTTCTTTTTTTTTTAACAGAAAACCTTACATGTCCCTCCATCTCGGACTCGATATAGGGAAAAACCCCGAGGGCGATGGCGGGAACAACAGCCCAGGAGACGGAGGGGGGGCCAGGTGGGACCCAGGTCCAGGGCCCAGAATCCCCGGCGACAAGGGCGGGAACGAGAAGTTCGTGGGGGTCAATGGCGGAGGATACTGGAACCCCGGCGAAAGCAACGGGTACGGAGATTTCGGTGACAGTAGGTTCATGAACGAGCTCGGCGACGGCGGCACGGGCGACGGCAACAACCCCGGGTGTGGACTAGGGTTTGGGTTATGGTTGGGGTTAGGGTTTGCTCTCGGTGAAGGGAAAGGTGGTAACTGTAGCGGCGGAGGGGGCGGCAGAAGCCCAGGGGATGGAACTGGCGGCCGGCCATCGGAGTAAAGTAAAGAACTTTCAAGATACTTCATGTAAGCGGAGACCGGCGATTGGGCTACAGGATTAGGGCGAGAGAAGAACCCAGGGTTCAAACTAGGGTTAGGGCTAGGGTTTTGAAACCGAGGAGGGGCGGCCGAGCGATCGGAGTGAGCGGAGGCGGCCGGATCCTCTGCAACCTCATGCCTCGCGCGGCTTCGGCTGGCGGAGGTTCTCGACGGCGGAGGCGCCGGCGGCGCAGGAGCGGCGGAGGCGGCGGGTCTCCGCGTGGGGTTCCGGTGAGTCTGCTGGACAATGCTGCGGAAGTCGTGTCTGCTGATGTTGTAGACCTGAGGCTGCGGCGGCGCCGGCGGCGGCTGAGGCTGCGGTGGCGGCGGAGGGCGGGGTTGTAGTTGGGTTGGTGGACGGCGGGCTCTTGCGGATGGCTCTGCTGACCCTTGTTTGAGCCGAGGTGGTGGTTCTTGGAGTGATCCATGGCCGATGGAGATCTAGGGCTAGGGTTTCATCCTTGTATCTGAGCTAGGGTTAGGGTTTTTATTTTTATTTTTTATTTTTATTTTCTTCGTTGGAGAAGAAAAAGACGGAAGCGAAGAGGATTGACTCGAGAGAGCAGAGGAATCGGGGACAAATTTTCAAAACCAACCCTTTTCATGATTTAATTGTGAAAGACGACCCGTTTCTGTTTTATTTAGAGAAACCGACATGGTTTCAGCACTGTCGCTGAAACCAGGTCGGTTTTTAAAAAAAACTTTACGAAACTTCACGGGAGTTGAACTCCCGTGAAGTTTTTTCTCATAACAAAACTTCACGGGAGTTGAACTCCCGTGAAGTTTGGGAAAAAAAATTTCAAAAACCGACTCAGTTTCAACCAACTGGATCGGTTTTTATAAATAAAATAGAAACAAGACGTTTTTTGCAATTAAATCATGAAATGTGTCGGTTTAAAAATTTTGTCCGAGGAATCGGGGATTTGGGGAATTTTTTGGGGGGGAATTAGAAAAAAGTTTTGTTTGAGGAACAAATGGAATGGGTTAGTGGGCCCCACAAAATGATCATTATGGTCTCAGAAAATAAGGTTGGGCCAGAAAAAAGCAGTGTATGGCTGGGCTGAGGGTTGGGCTGGGACCCTTGATAGGATAGCGAGGAATCTGGCTGCTATATTTATTAGAACCCTTCATTTATTATTTGCTGTCAAAATGATTCAAATAGGAATCTCAGCGGCCATAATTAGATATTAGCCGTTCCTTATAGAGATTGTTAGGAAGGGAGAAAAAGCAATAATAAGATTTTATTTAGAAATAGAAAATATTCACATAACACGAAGTCTGATCTTATTCCTAAAGCATCTCACGTTTTAACTAATTCTGAATCTTTACGTGGGCACCACGTTAATATTTAAAAAAGTGTCAGAAATATTTTAGTCTCTACATCTTTACTTTAACTACTTCATACTTATTTCCATGTAAACGGACAAGCCCTTGGAGATCATCAAGGATGAAGGTGATCAGACTGTAGGATTGTCGGTAAACATAAATGAAGTTGAGATAGTTGAGCACGGAAAATGTGTGTCCACATGTACATTTCTATGAAAGCTTATAAATTTATGTTTTCATTAAAAATCATAGGGCATTATTTGAAAACTAGGAATTTGAGAACTAGGAAAAACGACTATGATTTATTTGGAAAATGATTTTATTTTTCATTAAAAATCATAGGGCATTATTTGAAAACGTAGATACGTTCCCCTCTCTCTATCATCTTGCAAAATGAGGAAAACAATTAAATAAGCAGATGCATAACCAGTGAAACTATGGTCTATGGACAGCGGATTTTGGCCGCCAGAATAAAAAGTTGGGGTGAGAGAGGCTCGAACTCTCGACCTCAGGATTACTCAAATTTAGCTATGAGACCTACGCGCTAGCCAACTGCGCCACCACCCCTTTAGTGTTTATCTTCGTTAAAGCTTTACTATTCATCTATTGATGTCATCCTAACTCTCACTTTTATTTTTTTTAAGATTTATATTTGAGTTTTTTTGGTACTAGTACTCCAAATCTTTCATATTTTGATAATACCAAGATCTTAGAACAAATGATTTTCACAATGAACAATTAATTAAGAAAACGTACATTGATCCGTTATTTGAAACTTGAAGAGAAATTGACTGCAAGATGAACAACCTTGAAGGCTTGAGTTTTCTCTCTCTTAGCCCTCTTGATTTTTTTCCGAAATTTCTTGATGAAGAGAAAGTTTTATCACACTATGGGTAGAGAGAGGACCAAGACTTTAAATAGAACAATCATCCCCACGTTCCGTCAACGTGAGCCTTTATTTGACAATTTAATCTCAACTTATCGACCAATAGGAATTTATTACATGAAATAAAACATGAGCTGTTATAATCAAATGTTTTAAAAATAAAACCGTGGCCACTAAAGGCGATTTTACAAAACGTGGGCCACTAAAAAATCTAACATTTTTCGCCTGTATATGGCTCGAATCTATTTTACACCCAATACAGATAATTCAAGCACTAATTACGGAACATACGTCTCATACGAACAACTCATAGCTCGTCGCCTAAAGAACAGAGAATGACATGGAAGATACATGGCGAGGAAGAGATCGTCTGGAAGCAAATGCAATTATACATAATACAATAATAACAACAAGCATTAAGGGCGCGTTTGGTTCATGATTTTTTCATGGAAAGGGGAGGGGAAAGCTGACATATTCCTCCCCCCTTTCCATGAAAAAAATTTGAACCAAAAGCGCCCTAAGAGATCGCTAGAATTAGAACAGAACACCATTCCAATCCTTATTATGTAATAAGAAGGGGACACTTTACCTGTCCCCACTGTTAGTCTCGTATTTTGGGTTTATGTAGCAAAGCTCCTAAAAAAGTAAAAAAATAATTCCCCCATAGAAACCGCCTAATAATAGGACAATAGTACTAAAATCCTTTCTCATTTTTTTTTATTTTATACATAAACCACCCTAAAGGGGGTTTTTTGGCTGCAATCAGTCCCCTCACCCCCCAGGCAAAATTTTCACTAAAAACCCAGAGCCCGAGCCCACGAGCGCGGCAATCTCTGTCAAGCAACAACAATGGCCGTTTGCTCGGGAGCGCTTCTCCTGGGCCACCTCCTGCCGCATCTCCGCCGCTCCCTGGCCTCTCCTCGTTCGGATTCCGTCCCCAGCACCGTCCGATTAGGGCCCGGGTCGGGCTGGGCCGGATCCGGTGCGCCGGGATCCGAACCCGGAGGAGGAGGGAAGAAGAAGGTCTCGCTCGCTCTCGAAGATGCAGCAGGTCCTTGAGGACGCGGAGGAGCGAGCTCAGTCCGCCGGATCCGAACCCGCCCCCAAAATCGCTCTGGGTAATCCCCATTTCCACGAACACTTCGTCGTCATTTATTGATCAAACCCAGTTGAGCGGTGCAATTAGTTAATTAATTTGGGTTGGCTTTGCGATTAGGGATTTTTAGCTGCAGACAAGATTATTATTGTGTAAATGTTACGTTTTGACTGAAAAAGGAATGAGGAAAAAAATATGGCCTACGGATACACTTCGTTTATATCTATCTGGATAATGGAGCTACTTTGTTTAGGTTTTTGGGTCAACTTCACAAAACCCCCCCTGAACTTTACCTTATTTCACCTAGACCCCCGTCTGTAGTTTGCAAATAACTAAAGTATTGTAGAGTTGGTGAAAAGTCAGAGGTATGCCTCTGGAAGTTGGGCGGTCGACCGGCAGTGGAGCTGCGGTCGACCGATATGTGCACACAACTCTTAGTGTGCCACTGGACTTTGGGCGGTCGACCGGGCGAGGCGCTGCGGTCGACCGCGAATTGTCCAGAGAGCAGACTGGACCTCGGGATATTTTGCGGTCGACCGGCAGTGGTGCTGCGGTCGACCGACTATTGGGTTTTGGGTTTAAGTTGGTTTTCCAGACCCGTTTTCTTTGTAACTTGTATATAAACCCCAAATCTGTTCTAGGGTTTATGCAAGGGAGATTTTGAGCTGCCAAAGGGGATTTTCTAGGGCTTCTTTTGTTGGAGTCTATTGGAGAGATCAAGTGATCTTGTTTGAGGGTTTTGGGTAAGATTTGTAACCCTAATTTGTATTCCCCTTGATTTCTATTAGTGAAACTCCCCCCTCCTTGCCCCGTGGACGTAGGCACATTGCCGAACCACGTATACCTTGTGTTCTTGCTGTGATTGGTTGGCTTGTGTGCATTGTGGTCTATTTTGTTCTTGTGTGTGCTATTGTTTTGGCTATTTTGGGACTTCCGCGGCGCACAACAAGTATCGTTTTAGCCAAAGAAATCCAAACTTTGTCACTTGTCATTTACAGGCAACGTGCCTCCTCCCCTGAATTTTGGGGGTTTTTTTTTCTCTCTCGGGGAAATTGTAGTTATTTGCGAACTACGTGTGAAGGGCTGGTGCCTGGTGAGAAAAGTTCAGAGTCCAGGCGTTTTTTTGATACACCCGAAGATCAAGGGGGTTATGTGCAATAATCCCAAAGTTCAGGATAGTTATTTGAAATTAGCCCTTAGTTTTTAGTTTGCTCGAGTGCAGATAGCTAGTTGGGTTACCTCTGTGATTATGTTTCTCAAACCTTCACACAATTACCACATAAAGGTTGGCTAACAAGTATTCGATCATTTGTTGGTCTGGAGTTATACTTATAGGGGGTATCTAGGAAATCGCTGCTCTTCTGTTTAGTTGATTACGGTGTAATTTGGTGTTAAGCATTTTTGAATTATTTGGAGAAGGTGTACTTAGTTTTAAGCAGTTGAAAATTTTGAGATATTAGCGTTCTGAATACGTGATTAATTGCACTTATCAAGAGAGGTAGAGAACAATGCAGACCTCTTGCACCTGTGTTGAAGATGGCAGGCTGTAGCTTTGTTTCGTTCTAGATAATGTTCTTCCATCAATAAATGTAGATACAGTCAAGTAAAAGGTTAGATTATCGTTGTCGCACGACACATGATTAAAACTTGACTACCAAAAGACCTCACATATTTTCCTGATGCAACCAAGTTGTTGGTCCTTTTTAATCATCTGAAATACACATTCTAGATAGTCGCCATATTTATAGGCTTCACATATTAAAAACAATTATTTGAAACTAGTCCAAACTAAGCGACCAATTTGCACAAAATAAACTATGTACAAATTTGTTCCCTAACCTGATACAATCCTGACAAATTAACAAGTCAAATTAGTTCTAGATTCTAACAAAAATCAACAAAAAAGGTACTTGATAAGTAAATAAATAGTCAATCACAGCAAATTCTGATCCTGGAATTTACACCAGTTCACTTTTGTGGCATCTTCAATCATCTACAAGCTCTTCTCATCGAATATACTCTTTGCCTCATTTGTCTTCATGATATTGTAAATGAATACTATGTTTCTCAAATAATTGACCTAAAAATGTTTTCTAACACTGAGAAAGATGACATCTGGTAAAGATAAATAAGGACACACTGGAGGCGATCAAATAAATGGAAGTAGCTTAGAAGGACTTGCTTAGGTTTGGGACCAACTGTCACTGACATTGTGAAGACTTGGATGGGACAACATGCTCATGTTTCGGAACTACAGAAATCAGTGGTGATAATTTGATGGCTGGAACGATATGGAGATGAGTTAGAGAAGATGGTGCTTGAGCAGGGAAGCGCCCTTCAATAAGTTTCTTGATGCGATCAAGCACATCACTAGAAAAATGAAGCTTGCATAGTGGGAATAGGAAGTCTTTGTTGAATAACATTGTAAAGATCTGTGATCTTATTTTGTAGGGTCATGTCACTCCAATCAAGTGAATAGTTGACTCACTAAATGTGAGGGGATATAAAGAAGAAGAAGCCCAGTTGGCTTCTGATGCTTGGTGCATCCAAAGAAAGAAGAGTCCCAGAGGAGGGAAGCTTACAAGTGAAGGGCCAAAGGAGTAATTAGTTCTCAGCCTTACTGAACAGCAAATTAATTTCAAAATCCTAACCACTTATGTAAAACTACCAGCTATTAAATTAGTTAATCAATTAAATCCTAGTCTATCCGAACATTATGCCAGCTGATTATTTAATGAGAAGGCATTTATTTCTCTAACAATGTGAGAATGAGTGTAAAGTATTTGCTTTGATTGGCTATCAAACCATGTTACTGTTGATTGTTTTGAGCAACCTTTTGCAGGAAATATGAATATATAATTTCTTTATCTCAATGTTTGCTTCCTCTAATCTTTGATTGTCAAACTCAACTGTGTAGTTGGTTAATGTGTACTGACAGTTAGGAAAAATGAAAATTTATAGAAGAGGAAGAACATATTATATGAAATATTGGATGTACTATTGCTGATGGCTATCAAGCAACATCAGATAGTAGAACCATCGAATTGGTTATCATTGACAAATTGTTCAATTTTTCAGACCATGTTACTGTTAGTTTTGCAAGAAGCGGAGGGCCAGGCGGTCAAAATGTAAACAAAGGTTGGTTAAGTTCTTATCTTTCTCCTACTGCTGAATCTTTAACTACTGTTTCTAAATACGTTTACCCTATGTCTTCATCACTTTTTATTGCCTAAACAAATATCACATCGATGTTTGTAAGTAATACAGTTTTTTATTTTAATTTTATGTTTCTGCTAACTATCTTGACACAATTTTGAAGTTCTACTTGTTGGACCTTAAGTTTTTCCTTTCCAATGATTATCTTGAAGGTTTAACCATGTTGGTTGATCTGCTTGATTCTGTGTTTAGTTGATCTTTACATGTTTCTCAATTTCTTTGATGCATTATTATTATTGGGCATTTGGGCTAATTGCCGATTGTCCCCCTATACTATCACCCAATTGCAGATAGACCTTGTATAGTTCTATTGTTGAGGATAGACACCCTGTACTATCGCCCAATTGCAGATAGACCCCTATATCATCGCACAATTGCGGATAAACCCCTGTAGTTCTATACCCCTGTAGTTCTATTGCTGCTAGACCCCTGTAGTTCTATTGTTGCGACCCCACTTTCTGTTGCCCAGTTGCAGATAGACCCCCTGCAGTGCTATTGTTGTGGATAGACCACGTTTGCTATCACCTAATTGAGAACACACCCCCTGATTGTTTTTTTACTCTTTTACCCTCGGGATGTATATTTGTCAAAAAAATTGTTTTTTTTTCTTTCTAAGGCTTAATGAGTCAAAGAGATTCACTAAGGGGTAGTTCTGCAACAATGGAACTACTTAGGTCTGTCCACAATTGGGCCATAGGAGAGGGAGTTTATTCGCACTTAACCCATTTTTATTTAATAATAGAATTTTATATAAAAGGCAAAAGTCAATCTTCATGATGCTTTGCAATGCACATGTCAAATTCTCAAACTATATTTGCTTTTTCCCTTTTTTTCATTTCAATTTATCAACTGTGGCTCTATTTTCTTTCAACTTGTGTGCTATCTTACAAGAACTTTGTTGATGTTGCAGTGAACACTAAAGTAGATATGCGCTTTAATGTGAAGCAGGCATATTGGCTGAGTGACCGAGTCAGGGAGCGAATTCTTCAAATGGTGATTGACTGAATCTTTTGATTTCATATCAACATCTAATCCATAATTGCTGTCAGATTATATTTTGAAATCCATGTATCATATGTTTGCAGGAAAAGAATCGTATCAACAAAGATGGGGAGATTGTGATATCCTCTACGAAGACTAGAACACAGAAGTTAGATTTCAACCACTGCTCCTTCATTTTGTCCATGATACTTTTTAGTTGCCAAAGCAGATGGTTATTTTCTTATGTTCTTCTTCAGGGGTAACATTGATGATGCATTGGAGAAACTTCAGGTTCTTTTGCAATACTTTTTTCTTGTGACCTTTTTTTAAAAAAAATTAGCAGTCCATTTCTTTTGCCTTTTTATTTTATCATACTCACTCACTACATATCTTCTTTTTTCTGTGTTGTCTAACTTGGTTTTGTGTATTAGGCAATTATTGATGCTGCATCATACGTCCCACCACCTCCTTCTGAAGAGCAAAAGAAAAGGATTGCAAAACTGTATGCAATATAATTCTTTTCCCTTTTGCATTTTTTCTCATTAAGGGTAAATTCTGCATATAGTATTATACTATCGCTACAACAAGAGTTGCATATGTCCACACTTATTTGATGACACATGTGGAAGTGTTGTGTTAATTGCAAATGATTAAACAGCAGCGACACAAATAAAAAAATATCGCAGGCCACGGCACATTTGTGTCATTAGATACTATATAAAATAAAAGTGAAAACGAAGCTTCATTTTTCATTGGAGCACTTGAACAAGAGATGGACCTGTTCTTTAGTCCCATACTCCCATGTCACTAAGTTAAGAAGAATTGAACCAGTTTAAATACTTTTGTTGGACTCACATTACTGCAGATGTGGGTAGAAAAATAAAAAGGGCATATGTGCTTATGAAGTTGGTGGGATATTAGTCGGGATTCAGCTAAGTGGTGCTTGGTTTGGGGGGAAAGTAGGAAGCTGATTCCTATAAAGGACATGAGTTGACAGACAAAACAAGAAATTTGGCATACGAGACAAAAAGTGTTGCAAATCTTGACACATGTATGTGTTGCAAGTTGTCACATTTCCACACGTGGAAAGACCCTCTCCACACATGCTCTACCTACACTTTTGACTTGTGTTGCGCTCCACTTGGGCGACAGAAAATGCGACGCAGGGTGATAGAAAAAAGTACCACAGGTTACAACTTTTGCTGTAGTGTATATAGGGTATATTTTGAATAACCGTTCGAAAACAATAAAGACTTACTTTTGTTGTCTATAACACACACTGCAAATCTAGTAGATTGTTTGTTAAAAATGAGAATCATATTCTGTTGATTTCCTGAAAGTGAAGCTTCAGAGAGTTAATATCAGTATTTTATTCGTGATTGAAGGGCGGTTGCAAGTGAGCAGAAAAGAATTCAGAACAAAAAAGCAATCTCCCAGAAAAAGGCGATTAGGAGGACGAGGGATAGCTGGGATTGACTCAACAACAACAGTAATCATCAACAATGAAAGCTAACATATACACATGCGAAAATACATTTCAGCATAGTTTCCTAAAGAAGATTGTTGCCTGTGGATTCGGGCAACTAGTGATCCTTTCTGTACTGATGCCATTTCCCCCCTATAATAGGTGAAAGCGCAAGGGATTTAAGAGTAATATGCATGAACTGATGGTGGAAATATTCGGTCAAATGAAGGTTGCTGAACTAAAAGCCGATACTGTACATACCCATGCTGCACATTTTTGTGGAAGGGTTCAACCCACTTTTAAGTCTTAAGGAACAAAATACTGAGCTGTGAGCTATATTTGTAGTACAATCGTCTTTATAATGTTGATGGAATCATGAAAATTTTATATCTGGTTGCAAATTTGACTGTAATCTTATATGTTCGCGTGGGTATTTTTCTTTTTCGTATCGCTGAAACTGCAGTCAGTCACCTCTTTCGACTGCGATCACATGTTCTCAGCTGAAGTTTCTTTACGTTTTCTGTGATTGCTTTATATTCTTCCTCATGTCATTAAACCTGAATATGCTTTTAGTCATTCTTTATCGACAAAATTGGTCAAATAGTATTGTGAGGATAACAAGGTGGACTACTGAGAGCATGTTTGGCAACTTTGATTTATTATCTACTTGGCTTATAATCCACAAATGGATTATAAATAAGTGGTTTACAAGCCGAAAGTGTTTGTTAAATTTAGTTGATTATAATCCATTTTCAATAGTAGAGTGTTTGGCAAATGTGTGCCTTATAACCTATCATTACTGTCAAAATGACCCAAAAGCATTTAATGGGTTGGAGAGAGAGAAATGAGCCTTGAAATCTTGGGAAACGTGAGGGGTATATTGGACTTTTTCTTGGTCAAACGTTCTGGCTTATGAAGCACCAAAAAATAAGCTAGGATGACCCAGCTTATTTCGAAGTCTTATAAGTCAAAATAAGTCACTTTGACATGTTTGGTAAACATGCTCCGAATATTATCGATCTCTTGCAAATTAGGTGGTCTATTGTGGATATTTTAAATCAGCATTTTCTCTCCTCAGAAAGTATTGGGTTTTGATACTCATCAAAGTGAATTCTCTTTCTTTGTCAAAGGTGTGTCCTGTATTGTTCTGATACGAGAAATCCAAGCATCTGTTAATTATTTGACTAGTAATATCAATTGAAATATCTAATGCATACGTATCTACATACAAGTTGACAAAGACAAGTCAGCTAACCCCTAACTAATTGTCAGTTGTAGTTTGCTTTGATGGGGAATAATAAAGAGAGAGAGGCAACCATCCAACATGCTCAAAAAAAATTTATTTTTTTAAGCAAAAGTTGGATCGTGGATGTGGATGTGGATGTGGGCCAAGTCAAGGGGAACAAATCTAACTAACATTTTTGTAAAAGTGCTTTGTTTATTCTTTGGCCCTTTTGATTTGATTTGGTCTTATTTAAATTCTAATTAATTAGCCCCTGGTTTCTTGAATACTGGCCTGAATTTTTAGTAATGCATGTCGTTTTAACTTGGGCATCAAGAGAGGGTTTTGCTCTTTGTTTTTATCTCTCTAGAGATGCTTTTTATCTCTTTATTATTTCGTTGTTTACATTAGTTTATGTGAACGGTCACGGTTTTTTACTCTAATTTGGAATTGTTTTCGTGACCACTACCCTTGAATAATTCTGTGCAAAACAATTTTTTTTCATTTTCTATGAAATAGTGGTTTCAACATTTTGGATATCTGCATTTCTAGCTGCATGCTTCTATCTGAAATATATGAATGACTAAAATACTGTCGAGATATTAATGTTTGCGATTGTCCAGTGGGGAGCGGTCCATCGCCTTTAATATATATATATATCAAATAGATGTCAGCTACTGGATTCATTCGTGCTCGAAATCCCCAAGTATAATAATCCAATAATTATCATTTTTTTTGTGAGCATTTAATGTCATATATGGATCGGAGACCATTTGATACTTTCTCGTGTTAGCATGAACGAACTAATTTAATGTAGGGTTCTCAACTCCTGCACTTGGCTTTTGATTTTCGAGATCATAAGTGCATTCACAAACTGTATTTTCCATGGTTTAATTCTCAAACTGTTTTGCCTAATTTCCAAAGTTTATGGTAGCCTTGTTACTGCACAATATATGAGGGGAAATTTGAAGGTAAACTCTTTTTCATTTAAGACACTCATCAACTCTTACTCATAAATTAGTATTTAATTATGGATCCTTAACTAATGATTAATATTGCATACCTAAAACAACTACCATTGGTTAATTAATTGTAGGAAGAACAACTAACAAGTGACGGTTGTTATTAGTGTTTTATGATCATCATCATCATCATCGCATCTCATCTACAATTTTTGCACACGTAATTTTTTAGTTTTCTTATATCATGCTCTCTCGAATTCATGCCTTGCACGAGTAACAAACTAGTTAGTTTACAATAATAATAATAATAATAATAATAATATATAGTAATAAGAAGAAGAGGAGGAGGAGGAAGAAGGACAATTAATGAAGGTGGAGATAGAGAAGTTTTGGCTGTAATTTATTTACCCTATCAAGAGAGTTTCACACTAACGAGCCAAAAAAAAAAAAGTTGCAAAATATCATAACTACGTACAAAGACATTTTTTTTTAATATTTACAAAAAAGATTGACGAAATTAATTAAGCCAACCCTTCACTTCCTAAAGCAGGACTCCTCTCCGCGTTGACCTCTCCGACATGCTTGAGCCACCGTCGAGCCGCCGCCCCGCGATCCTCGGCCCCTTCCCCACGCCGACGTGGAACATCTGACCCTCTGGCCGTATAGGCAGACCTGGATACTACCATCCTATCCCTCCACGGCATCCCGCGGCCGCGCGCGGAGACGGCGACGAGCGAGGAGGAGAGCGAGGCCCCCTTTCACGATCCTCATACTGTCCGAACGTTTCAGGCAGACCACACCATCCCCCTGCGGCCCCACTTCCGCCTCCCGGACGAGCCTCCCGTGTCCCTCCTCCTCACTGTCCAGCCACCATGAAGTCCACCCGGCCGGCCAGGCTGACTCCCCGGCCGCCCTCCTCCCGCCAGGTGACGTGGCGGCCCGGTGTGGCGGAGGCGCGCGGAGATGGCCGTGGGGAGGCGGGCGTCGGCGTCGGCGGGGGGAGGCGCGGTGGCAGCCGGTAGCTGGAGCCTCCAGCGCCGGCCAGGGGCGGCGATGAGCTCGGTCGGCGGCGGTGTCCTCGGTGGCGAGAGGGAGGAGAGCGGAGCGGCACGGCGGCAGATGTGAGTGCTTTCGACGCCGTCTCCGGGCGACCAAACCGCAGCCTTTCATGAGTTGGTTTGGTCTTTGCTTTTGTTTGTTTGAGAGGGGGGAGGTCGAGGGAGGGCTTGAGGACGAAGGACGGAAAAGAGTGGGGTTTTAAATGAGAAAAAGAGAGGCAGAGGCGGCGTTGACTTTAAGGGATGAACAGCCAATTTCGGCTTTTTCCAACTTGGTAGAATTACGGCTGTGTCCCTTATGTGAGATTGAGGAAACTACTCGAAGCGACCGCGTTGGTGGAGGCTGGAGGCCAC